TTTTAAAGAGCCGAGTGACTCAACATCAGGAACTGTGACAGGCAACATCAGGAACTGTGTTGTGCAAATTGCATTCAGCACATAATTGTGTGCGCAAACATTGCAAATAGTGTGTGAAAACACACAAGGCTGTTGGTGACAATTCATTGTTAGAGTTTTTTTTTCAATTTTTTAATCAGTTAGCAAATGAGCAATGATAAAATTAGAGGTACAGTTAGAATTCATAACCCTCTAGAATTCATAACACCTTGGCAATTGAATCGCAATTGGCTATTTATTTATTTATGCTAGTTTACTCACCACCAGTATTGGGTGTAATGCATTAAGTGATTACTGTGATTTAATTATTTTCCCTTGGATAAGTAAAGTAAGGGATTACTCAATTTTACTGAAATGTAATTACATTTACTTCTGGTGTAATTGTACTAAGTACTGTATAGATAGAACAATTCTATATAAAACATTTTCATAAAGCTTGAGACATTATTGGTCTAATAATATAAAGCATCCTATGGTCTAATGAAATAATAAAAATAAAAAAAACACATTGAATATTAATTGCGTTCACTCTTAACTGATTTGAAAATATACGATAAACTTATTCTTAGCTTCAAACTCAAGCACTGGCAATTATAATTTAACACTTTATACGCCAATGGCTGACAACAGACATATAGTTAAATGTATTTGCATATGTGAGTGATTTACTTAGAATGTAGATTTAGCCCAATCACATTTAAATTTGATCGAACGCGTGCACATGAAAAGAGTTCCTCCTGCAGGAGAAACTGGGTTGAAAGATGATCAAGCACAGCTGTGTGTGCAGTAATGCGGTGTTGCCGCAGTCCACACGTCCTCTTTTTAGATGGTGCACACTCACACAGCAGACATGTAGTCGAGCTGTCAGACACACACAGCAGGCAAAGCCCCTGAGGGTTACAGCCCTGGAGTGGAGCTCTCATCCCCAGTGCATTCTAATAAGCTCTCGGCAGCCTGGCTCTCTGCAAACCAAGGTTAATCTAGGTGTCAACACCTGTCGCTGGAATTGGATATTGCTCTAGGGTGACATGAGCAAACACCACAAGTACGTACAGCTCCCCAACATGAATCTCCCTTTGTTCCCGTTTTCCATATTTGGATCAGTCACTGGATTCGCTTAGTTTGATTTGAAGAAAATTCCTAGATTCTTTACCCCTTTTTTTATTTACCAGTTCAAAAATTGGAGTCAGAGTTACTCTGAATATATTTAACACTTGATTATGGTGCAACTGTGTGCAATAATTCACAATATTCTGTCATCACTAATCTAGATATAGTGTTTCTAAATAGGGTCGCTCTCTCGGGAGCAATTTTCACCTGCCAAACTAAGCATTTAATATGACTTTAATGTGTGTGTCGGCTGGTTACTTCTGCCAATGTTGTGCTTTAAAACTTACGCTTGTGGCTATGCAGTGGTTTAATGATTGCGGGGTTGAAGTGTAGACTATTAGTTTTCATTACCTTTGATGTATCACCCAGTTTTTGGCAAACTGTTTAGAAAACTTTTGCTGAAAATTGACTCTCCTTCGCAGGCCATCCATGATGGAGGTTTTGGACTTTGTTTCTTCATCAGAACAGATATGGCGAAATTTAGCATTTCTTCGCTTGCTCACCAATGGATCCTCTGCAGTGAATGGGTACCAACAGAATGAGAGTCCAAACAGCTAATAAAAACATCACAATAATCCACACGAATCCAGTTCATCATGTGACGTGAAAAGCTGCGTGTTTGTAAGAGGTAAATCCATCATTAAGATGTTTTAAATGCAAATCATTGCTTCCAGTTAAAGTATCTTCTTTGATAATAGTCTTATATCCATAATATTGCTTCCTTCAGTGAAAAAGTTGGGTCTTCTGAATCAGGAGAGAAATATGCACAGATTAAGCACTGTTTACAGTGAAAACAGTCCAAAACAGCTCTAAACAAATATGTTGGTGGATTTTGGTGTGAGAGGACAACAGGTAGTGGACTTTTTGACTGGAGGAAGGTTTAAAGTTAAAACACCTTAATGATAGATTTGTTTCAAACATGCAGCTTTTTGCTTCAAAAGGCGTTAATTGATGGACTGGAGTTTGGATTACTTGTGGATTATTAGTGATGTTTTTATCATGAGGAACTCACTCAGATGAGATTGAAATAAATTAGATTTTTTTGGTCTAGAAAAGCTCTTCAACTCCCTCAAGGATTATGTGATTTTAATCACATTATAGTAATATTTTAGCTAAAGAGGACAATCAGTTATAATGGAGAATGAGTGCAGGCTTTCAAAGGTGGTTAAATAGCTTTAAAGGCAATGGTCTTGGTAATTTGACAGTGGTGTCATTTTTTGTTTATTAATTTGATTTAAAGTTCATTTCAGTTTATTCTTAATATATCGTATGCCTCTGTGCTATAATACTGGCTTCATACCTGTCATGATTCCTTGAATAATAATCTAGAGTATTCTAATAAAGCAGAATAATGTGTTGCAGTGCACATTTGTGTTCCGTTTATGAAGGCAATAGGGAATGTAGGTTTAGTGCTCAGTCTGTGCACCCTTAAGGGACTTAATACTGATACTGAAACAGCTGGGTTTCACAGCGTTCCATGAAAATCCCCCTTCATTATGATAATGCCATTGACAGGGAACATCTTAATCTGCCTGAAGCAATCACATCTAGCTAGACTTGAGTGGCTCATATATACAGAGTTCCAGTCAGGGGTAGAGTATCAAATGCTATCACTTTAAAATCCATACAGTCATCATGTGTGATGGAGAAATTATTCAATGGACAGAGTTAGTTGTATAGTAGAAATTGTGATGCTCAAATTTAATTTGCACTTTGTCATGCTCCTTCTGTATATTTTCCATGTCCGTGCATGAAATAGATAGATAGATAGATAGATAGATAGATAGATAGATAGAAATATTGCATAACAAAAATAAACCCTTAAGATGCTGAAAATAAACCCAATATTGATACACTCACAAAAAAAGGGTACCCTTTAAAAAAGTACTAATATGTACACTGCAGGTAATAATATGTACCTTTAAGATACTAATATGTACAATTTAGGGGTAAGTTAGGTACAAATATGTATATTTTAGCTTTTTTACCTTTGGGTACACCACAGCGACAGCTCTGTCTTTTCATCACAATTTCCAAGTAAATTCTCATTACTTTTATGAGGACGTGTTTTGTAGGTGTACATGTTAAATTGCCCGGATTGCTATAAGGTATCAAAAGTGTTGACACATAAAAAAAATATAATGAAATATTGCAGTTGCATAATCTGCAACATTACATTTACAACATACAATTTTTCCATCACAGGCGTATGAGTATATTTTACATTTAATGGTTTAATGATGTGATTATGGTTACTTGTTAAGCCTGACAGCCATGCATTGCATATGGCCTGTTTTCACATGAATAAACTAAATGCACTGCTGAATACATACGATTTGCCCATTCTACATATCTTAAAAAGACTCTTTTATTACAAGGAAGTTATATTACTACATATCTTTCAAAGAAATTGCCACATTAAAATATGTTAGAACCCAAAGGCTTTTTCCTCAGTTAATTGCTAGCCAGCAAGGCACTACAGTGTATAGGGCTGATATTCAAATGCTTAGTGTGGCCAGAAACTATTATAATTCACTGTACTTTGCCTCAAAAGATGGGACATATCCAGGCGTCACAATTAATTTCATTACAGCTAGAGTCAAAATTAGGTTATGCTATAAACCTTTGAAGTGCCATTATCAACAATGGACGGCCTAAACACAATGAACAGAAAAGACTTGATTTGACAAGGTTCTGATATTTATTTAATACTTAATCTAAACATACATTTTAATATGTCGTTTGCAAATATCTGTGGTACTGCAAAGAGGCAAGAGAATCCGTTGACAGCGAAATCCTGACGTCAAAAAGATTTGGTGTCGTATCAACAAACATCTCAGAGAAACAGCCCCTGGAATAACATAGAACTGTTTAGCTACAGACAACAACATGAAATTGTTAACTTTAGATGCGATGGCATTGATATTTATCAAACGCTATGAAGATTGCGAAACGTTAATTCAAACAGGTGTCATTTTAGGATCTCAGTGACATCGAACCTGCAGTTTAGTTCTAGTTTTACCACATTCTGTTTTGTAGATTGGAAAATTATGGCAGCACGGTTACAGACTGGACTCGGCCGTGATGTGTTTTCCCTCCAACAATATTAGAGACACCCTGTATTAATAATGAGCCGCCAAGTGCTCATTTAAAGATACTGTGTGATATTTATGTTCTCTCCTGGCTGACCCTTTTCTAAAGAGTACATCACAAAATAACTCTTGTGTCGAAAAAGAAATCAAAACACACAAAAAAAAATAAGTTAACAGGTTGACAAGAATATAAATTTACAGTATATACAATCACGTACAATGAAAATATATCAGCGCTTTAGTATTCTAAAGGTTCCAAGTTGCCTGCTCAAGAGCTATAGATCATCAAATCAAAGTTGCAGGAACAAAAAAATAAATAAAAAAATAAGAGAAAAAGATGCTGATCACAGCATCGGCAAAATAATCGAAACCTAATAAGGCTTTCCTCACAAAATCCCAGCTGTTAAAGCAGAGCAGAACCAAAGAGCAGCCGTCTTGAAAAGATAATATATCAACAGCACTAAACATGACAGGCACCCATACTTTACCTTCAAAATGAAACAAAATAAATAAAAACATATTCATATATATGTGTGTGTATATGCTTATAAAATGAAACACTGAAAATCATAATTTCTCAAACCTAGTGAAGGCAACATTCTGCTTTCGGCATCATTTTTTAGGAAATGTTTTTGTCTTTGTAGAATAATTCTGTACACTATATACTGTACCAGTAAACAAAATGTAAAAGTTTGTTTTTAAATATTTTTTACTTTTTTTTTAATGTATACCCAGTGTATCGAAAAAAAGTGTTGCAGGCACTTAAAGTCCATCTCCGACGTGTTGGTGTTTTTACAGTGGAGCGCCGACGCGGGGAAAAGGGCTTGTTTGGTTATTCCTGGATTGTGTTGGATTCTGCTGAGAGATGTCGCTCCAGTCTCAGCCGAGGATGTCTAAGTAGACAGGCATGGCTTTTCCCAGTGTGTAAAGAACTTTCTGAATGTCTTTGATGTTCAGTCGTTGTTGCGGCTCTCTTTGCCAGCAGCCTAACATGAGGTCGTACACCTCCTTAGGACACAGGCGAGGCCTGTCTAGAACCCGACCTTGGGTAATGCATTCAATGACCTGCAAAATAGAGAGAGACAGAAATGAGCAAATGTGTGCAATTGATTCAGAGGCAGTGTGTTTACTTTTTAATGCTATTTCAGTCAAATATAAGTAATGTTGCACACTGTGACTATTTGTTTGAGCTTCCTGACCAATCTGATGCAGCAACATTGGTTGAAATAATGGTGAGATTTGGACTCTTTGTCCCATTCCCATAATTCACTCATAATAAACTCTTTATGCACTACAAATACACTATACACTACCACTAACAAATACACTACCATTCAAAAGTTTGGGGTCAGTAAAAAAAAAGTTATTTCTAATCTTTTATTTCTAATAAAACTTTCTAATGGTAGAATATTTGTTAAAATTATTTTTAATTGGACTGAACTCTTTTTTATAAATTAAATTCAAATATTATAAAATATTAAATATTAAAATAAGAGGTATAAAGTATTTAAATGTATAAGGTATAATTACTTTATATTGAAATATATTTAAAACAAATGTATTAAAACAAATTGTTGACACACACATATAGAGAGACAATATGAGCTTGTCATAATGCAAAATGGGACTGACAAATCCACAAAAAAGGAATATACAACTGCCTTTGAACTTTTTTTTTTTGAATATACAATTCAGTCTTTGGACCTTTTCTTCCTTTTTTAAATGCTCGCGTCAGTGCACATATGATGCCTAAAAATTCCGTCCAAGTAAACAGATCACAAGGTTTTCCAACCGAACTGTGTGTGTGTGTGTGTCTGTGTGTGTGTGTGGCGAGATGTGAGCTGCTAACCTGATCTCTGACAGCATTACACCCCGCCTGTAGAGATCACACTCACATTCTAAAAATGTCATATTCACACTGACGTTCTAACAATGGCTCCCATCTCTTTTTGCGAACATTTACCTCATTATTAGATAACTGAAACCATGGCTGTTTCCCATAGGTGAAGATCTCCCACATAATGACGCCGAAGCTCCATACATCGCTCTCTGTGGAGAACTTCCTGTACATGATGCTCTCCGGAGGCATCCAGCGTATGGGCAGCATGGTGTAACCTCCCACCTAGAAGACAGATAACATCAAGCATTGCTCACAAACATCTTACGCGGTATGGATGACATTTCCCTTTCTTTGTAAACAAGCAAACAGCTTAGTCTATTGATTTAGCTCTAACTGGTTATGAAAAGCTCTTTTGATGAATTGGAAAGATGCATACAATGCAACAGTTCTGATCTTACATGACACCAGCACAGAGGGTGTCACAGTTTACTAGTTTTTTTTTTATGCAGCAATTAATTTTAATTCAAGAAATACTGAATATATAATACTGAAATATAAAGTTTATATTTTAAGGTTCACATCCATATATTAAGTTCGGTTTTTGCAGGCCCTGATAAACTAATACATATACATGCAATAATGCATCTCAATAAATTAGACTTTTCCACGACATTCTAATTTATTGAGATGCACCTGTACACTTGCTGCTGAAGTTGTGAATTGCGTAATCAATGTGCTCTGGGAGAACATGTGCTCTGTTTTTAGAGGCTGACTTTGAACAAAAAACAGCATTGCATACATTTTCTATCAAAAAAAAAAGTTGAAAAGATTTTGGAGCTGCAATTCGTCACTAACATAAAACCACTGATTCTGATGAACTGTAATGAAAGTGTTTGTGTGTGTGTCTGTGTGTGTTTGCCCGCAACCCTAATGTCTTTTAACCCTCTGCCAAACGTGGTTAAATTAAATGATTTTATTTTACATTGTTCATGCAATTGTTTTTTTTTTGTTGTTTTTTTTGTGATATATATACTGTATATAGGTGTATATTTAGAGCTTTCCAACCACTGGGGAGACATTCTTTTAACCTTAAAATTTACTTCAGCCATAGTTGACAGTTCATCTGAGAGGTCCTTAATGAAAGCAACCAATAGAAAGTTGTTCTTCACAGCACATGTGGGTCTCGTAATGGGATTCTTATATAATATAATTTATAAAAACAGAATTCTTATAAAAACAGTACATAACACATTGATTATCCTGACCCACTCTGTAAAATGCTTTGAGTGTGAGAATTGACTAAACAATAATTCGTTAATTGTGCATGCACTCAGTTTCAATGAAAATGTCTCTTTCTCAAATCTATTTCTTATTCACATCAATTCCACTTTATTCATCATGTTGTGCCAGCATGAAATATCCAAGAGACTACTGGGTATTGCTGGAGCCCTTCCAGCTCAGCGTGGAATTGTCTTTGTAATTGCTATTCCCTCTGTTGTGTGTCGTTACATTGATCCTACTTCCGGCTGGCAGAGAGCAGACTAATGGATGTCTACCACCACATAAGAAATTAGTCAAGTTCCTGTGACTACTGTCTGCTGCATATAGTCAATATCTTATCGAAACCTTCTGTAAATGAGTTTGTGTTTATTGGTATTTTAGCTGCTCCTATTGCAAGTGATAGTTGGGAGAGAATGTGAAATGAAGGGGCAAAAAGAGGTTCCAAACATGGTAACATCTCAACCTGGCAGCTCAATAGGGTAATTAACCCAAAGAGTCTTCAAACCCTTGGGATCCTCTGCAGCGACACATGATAGCATCACGTTATGAATTGTGTACTGTGAAATCACACTTGTGTACTGTATCTAGAGGTGGTTGTGTCCATGAACATGCATAGTGCACACTGTACTCATTCTGACACAACGCTGACATGTCTGTGACATATTTATAACATTTACTATATACTTTATGAAAGAACATCATGTTACACAGTAACTACTAGGGGTGTGAATCTTCACTGGTTTCACGATTCGATTAGATTACGATTATCATGTCAACGATTCGATTCAATTCAATATCATGATGCATCATGATGTGTTGCACCATCAATTTTCAATATTACTGCACGTGGCTACGTTTTAATATAAATTTTATATCAAATTTATTTTGTGCATTTTTATAAAATTATATAAGCAGGCTACTTTTTAAAATAATTACAAATTAATAATAGATCAATACAATTGTTAAGAATCTAACCAACTAAATATAGCTTCAAAACATACAAGCAAATATAAAGTAATAAAGGGGGTACAGTCATAGTTATGGTTTTTCTTTTTTCCTCAGCATTATTTCTGTTTGATTATTACTGATGACATCATAGACAGTGGCAGGTTCAATAGGCTGTATTCACACTAATGCACAGATCTATTTCGACATATCAGCTGTTTGTCCTGTTCTGAAAACATAACTGACTGTGTTTACATCAATTTGGTGTCATAAAAGTATTCGGAGATGCAAGTGCTTCAGGACAAACAAACACAAAGCGCACGTGAAAGTCTGTCAGTACGTGAGTTTCGTGCGTCTAATACTTACTGCATTCCAAAAGGCATGAATGAAAGCACATCTAAAATAAAAAACTGAAATAACAGCGTGTGGAAGCACACACTGTCAAACAATGCTCACATGTCTCACAGCGCATATCCTGTGCAATGAAGCCCACCACGATTGTCTCTAGTGCATACGCGCCATATGCAGGGAAAAAAACAAGCTCAGAATAGATTCTGAAATATTTAGAATCGATTCAGAATTGCTGAAGTGAGAATCGCGATGCATCAGAGAATTTATTTTTTTTCTCCCGCCCCTAATAACTACACAGTAATCATTGCCCTGCTTCTCATATAAACTCTAATATGTTCTCTTTTAAGAAAAGAAGGCTGCAAACTCTTTAATTCAGTAGCCTAGGGAGGGATGTAGTGAAATAAAAAGCTGTATTTTACATTGCAGATGCTTCTCATATCTGTTCACTGCAGTACCCCTGCTGTGAAACCATCTCATTTGTGATATTAGATTTTTATTTTATTTTTTTGCATGAAACAAAATCTAAATGTATCAGATGAATATGTGTGTTACTAAAAAATACATCTGAAAGCGTAGCTAATTAAAAAAACATCAATATGTTCTGTCAACTCTTGTAATCAGCAAGTTTTATCTATAAAAGCTTTTAATAAAAAGTTGTTCGCCAGTGTTGAATTGAGACTGACTTTAAAATTCAAATTTGAATTGAGGTAGCAAACAAGATGCCAGATAAGAAGAATTAAAATGCATCAAACTGTAAGGAATTCATA